TTCAATTCAGTTATAAATATATATATAAATATATTATTCACTAACGGTACTATCGATAAACTAAATTTTAAAATGTTGATCATAAGGTGAAAGTTGAACCTTTGCTCTTTTATTTGTAATTAAATCTTCATACAATTAAACCCTTAAAATTGATATTTGAAAAGCATAAAATAATATTTAAAAGTATCGATAGTTTTAATTATACTATCATTTAGCCTTTTTCAACACTAATTACTTGGCTTCTGGCTAGAACATAATGATATATATTTTAAAATAAAAACTGTGAAAAGGAATAATGCTAAATAAATATATTTTGTGCCAGTGCGGTAATCACATAACGACAACTGAACGAGGACAATAATCGAAATCCCAAGAAAATCCGGTCAAAAAGTCGCAAAAGAAATAACGAAGAAATAAAAAGCAACAAAATGAAGAAGGAAAAATATAAAAAAAAAAATAAAAAAAGACAGTTCCCAGGCGCATTAATTAAAAGGCGCAGACAAAGCGAGTCGCAGATTAATTGGCGTCAATGAGCAGCAGACAAACAGAGTGCAACAACAAAAAAAAAAAAAAAAAAAAAAAAAAAAAAAAAAAAAAAAAAAAAAAAAAAAAAAGCCAAAGAGTGCGAGCGAGCGAGGGAGAAGAGGAGCCAATGACAAGGACGAAAAGTTACTAGGAGAAGAGCGTCAAGGCAGGCGGCAGGCCGGGGGCGGAACCCGTTGGCATATCAGCGGATATCAGCGCAAATGAGTAATGAACTCGAGCAAAGAGCAAGGCGTAATAATTTTTTTTTTAGTGCTCAGCACAATAAGAAACTAGTAGGCCTGCTTGAGTGTGTGTGTGCCTGAGGAATGCGCGCCGCGTTTTATGCTACCGTTATTTTTACCATTGCTTTTAAATTCCCCGAACGCGCAGCAAGTCAATGAACTGCTGCAGTTGCCGTGTGTGTGCGTGAGTTGTAAGTGTGTATGGAATATATGCAAATTATACGCCAGTCGAAAATTTATCTTAGGGCGGCGGGTAGCGGGGCGTGGCACACCGCACAGGCAACAGAAACTTGCCTGTAATAATTTGCCGTTTGCTGTTTTTTTTTGCTCATTTAAAATTCAACAACTGCCGTTTCGCCACTGAGAAAGAGCACGAATCAGCGTGAAATAGAGAGAGGAAGAGAGAGAGAGAGAGAGTGAGAGAGATATGATGTGTAAAAGAGACAGCGCGTGGCATATACACGTTCGCACTTTTTGAATGGGAATAAGCCTCGTTTATGTTACGTATGTTGCTCGATGCGCGGCTCCACTAAAAAATAAAAAAAATAAACACACATCAACCGCGCACTATACGCCTAGACGCTCCCCCTTCCCTACACATTTCCCCCTGCTGTCTGCTGATTTGCATGCATGCAACAACTACTGAGGGAACCGAAGGCGACGAAAAATAGGCGCCACAATTTCTGTGACTACCATTTCGCATTCGTCTGGCTTTCCCGCTGCTTTCTCCTCTATTCTCTCTCTTTTTCTGCCACGCCCCTGTGCCCACATTTTTATTTTAATTAAACTTGCTTTTTTTTTTGTCTATTGCTTTTATTTCTTAGCATATATTTTTCTGCCATTTTTCGTCGGCTTTTTTCGCATTCAGTTTTATAATTGTGTTGAAAGTTCTGCTGCAAACGAACATGCATAGAAATAGGAATTACATTTAGAGCGCGGCAAGTACACGCTGCAGCGGAGGTGACTAGGAAATGCATAGAAAGTTAAGCAAATAACTGGAGAGGATGTGGAACTTAATTAAAATAAAAATATACATTTTAATCAAGTGAAAATATCAAAATAATGCGTTTTTCTACTGTAACAATTTTTATTTTCAACTCCAATTGCTTCAAGCAATTCTTTTTGTATATCTTTATTAATTTCGTAAAATCGAGGTCTTTTCCTGTCCTTGTAAGACAAACCCCATTAAACTTCTCTTCACTTTTCATTGAATATCCATTCGCAATCCCCTGTCAATGTCTAGAGAATATATGTATATGAAAAACTTTAAATTAAATAATTGAGATATGTGTGAGAGTTAGGTATGTAAAGTGGACTTATGCGATTTTTGGCAGGTTTAAGTGGTACAGCAGCTGGAACAGAATATAAACTCGAATACACTCTAAACGCTTTAGCAATCTATACAATATCCAATAACACTTTGCGCTAAGTACCAACAAAATGCGCGACTGCAACAATCTGGCAAATTGAGTTACCAAACGGGAATTATGCGACTGTTCACAAAGCACGCCCCCCTCCCACGCCAGACATTCGTACAGTAATAACCCACTAACCGGAACGCACAAAAACCAATTTTCTGTTGTAATTTGTTGAAAAACGAATTTGATTAGGTTGACGCCGGACGCGCGCGCACACATACACACACACACACAAATGAGGGAAGCATGGACAAAAAGCATAGCATACTTTCCAGCGGCTCTGCAAGTATGCTGGTGGGAGAGCTGGTAAATAAAGTGAGTAAAATGGAAACTGCAGTCGACTGCAATAATGTAATGGTTATATTTAGAAAGAGATAGACGAGCAGAGAGAAAGAGCGAGCAGAGACAGATGCAGCTGTTTTTGTTGCGTTTGGTATGGCCGCAATATTACGTGTCCTGTGCACACTTCTTGCCGCATCCTGAATTGAAAGTAACTCCGTTAGCCGCTGTTTGGTTTTATATGCTAGCTGTTCGATTTTGTTGGTACAGAAAAAAAAAAAATAAAATAAAAAGTAGTGAACTTAATTTTAGAGTGCCTGGCAGATTCTCTGTAAATACTTATAATACAAATAATAATTTTAATTAATAAAAGATTAAAAAGCCAAGGAAGGCAACCAAAATTATAAAACAGACCAAGAAAACTGACTTGAGCAACTTTCCTTCTGAGCCGCAATAATATTTTAGGATGCGGGCTTCAGCGCCACTTTAATATACCCTTTTCGTATTCCTCTTCCCATGTGCACAGGGTATAAATACGTATTGACGACTGCATTTTGCCACGCCTTTAGGCAACTGGCGGAACCTATTCGGCCTGCCCTCGCTTGGCCATTGCTCCATTTCATTTTACCGCATTTCTGTCGCAATTTTGTTGGTGCTGTTGCTTTTGTTGTTGGTGCTTGGCGCATTTTGTGATTGCACTTGCTGCTTGCGCACAGTTCATACCCGGAAATTGCTCGGTCAAAATATTTGTGCAATGCCAGGAACGGCTAACAGTACACACATACCCGCACACTCTCTTCCAAGCCCTCCACTGTTTGGCCTGCAACGTTAGTTAAGCGCCCAGAGATTTGGTTTCAGGCATTTTTCGTGCCCGGCGCGCGCTCTTGAATATTTCAGGCATTTAATTGTAAATTACACATACGCCCTGTGTACGCTTTATGCATTTTTTACAATTGTTTGCCAGTTGTTGACGCTGTTGTTCTTGTTGTTGTTGCATCTGGTTTTTATTGTAATGCACGGATTTGGTTATTGGACCACGCGCTTGGGGAAAAGGTTTCATCCTTTTTGCCATCATTTGGTTAGCGTGCATTTAAAAATTTAACTCGCTTGATTAAAGTTCTTGTAAATTGAAATGGTTTTCGCTTGTCGCTTGTTGCCGCTCTTCAATTATGCAATAGCTTGATGGTTGATGAACAGCCCGTGGCTGTCCATAAGCCCCAAGGGAGGGACTTATTGTACATATTTGTTATTATTGTGTGCTGAACAAATTGTTCCATAAGCCTTTTAAGCTATGAAGTAGGCTGCAGAGCTTTAATAATGCTGCAAAATAATACTTTAAATGTGGGCTTATAGACTTGGGAATAAGTCAAAAGTTAATTTTATTCTATATTTCTCTATAAAAAATGAAAAGATATGTTGATACTATTACAACAGTTGTTAGCTGGTTATCTGATCAATATATTACAAAAAAAAAATTAAAAAAAAAAAACATTCATTTTGTTAATTGGGGTTTCAAATCATTAGAAAAATATTGGCTTAATCCAAATATTGGTTACATAGTGCTGTAAAGTGCCGCCAATATTAATAAATAAATAAATTACTAACAGTGTGACCACATTTTTTTCAATTATTATATTCCTGATAGGAACCCACCATCCCAGCAGCTAACAAATGTCTTGTAAGCTTGCTGAACCTGGTCAGACCGAGATCTATACCCCGGCCAATAGCTTTCTTACAATTTAAAACAAAAAAACAGTAGGAGGTTCTAGTCGGGAGTTCCAACCTAGGGAATACCCTGAACCCTCTTACTCCAACACCAAAAAAGTTAAAAACAAGTAAGAGGTTCTAGTCGGGAGCTCCCGACTAGGCGCTACCCCGAACCCTCTTCTTCCAACATCAAATGCATATATATATTCTATTTTAGAAGCTATATGTCAAGTTTGGTGACTCTAGCTCTTATTATTTACCAAAATTGCCCAAAAACAGGATATCGATATAGTTTTTATCGATTGCTTGGAAACGGATGAAATTATCGATTATCGGAGACAAACTCGATCTGCGCGGGAGCTAGGAGCACCTACATCTAAAATTTCATCTCTAGCTCTTATAGGTTCTGAGATCCTTGCGTTCATACATGCGGACGGGCGGACGGACATGGCTAGATCGACTCGGCTATTGGTGCTTATCAAGAATATATACACTTTATGGGGTCGGAGATGCTTCCTTCTGCCTGTTACATACATTTGGATTTTGCACAAATACAATATACCCTTATACCCATTTTTAATGGGTTCAGGGTAAAAAATCTAAACACAAAAAAAAAATATTTAAAATTTGATATTAGCTATCACCTTCTAAAATTGTTAATTTAGCATTTATAAATATGTATTTAGTAATTATGATGGAATTTTTTACTGTTGCGGTTAAATTACAATTCTGTAACAAACTATTTGTCAATTCTATTTTAAATTGAATATTAAATTAGGTTTGTTTTTGCAACGCGTCATTTAATTAAATTTGTTGTCGTCTCTCGCAGGATGAGAAAAATCAATTGCTGGTCACGAATGTTTGGCTAAAACTGGAGTGGAACGATATGAATTTGCGCTGGAATACCTCAGACTATGGTGGTGTTAAGGATCTGCGGATACCGCCGCATCGCATCTGGAAGCCGGACGTACTGATGTACAACAGCGCTGACGAGGGTTTCGATGGTACCTACCAGACGAATGTGGTGGTGCGCAACAATGGCTCCTGCCTGTACGTGCCACCGGGCATCTTTAAGTCAACATGCAAAATCGACATCACGTGGTTTCCCTTTGATGATCAGCGCTGCGAAATGAAATTCGGCAGTTGGACCTATGATGGATTTCAGGTTTGGTTAAGTCGACCGAGTATGCGAAAAAAAAAGCAAGGCAACCAGGGAGTACACAGCTCGTAGTTGTTATGCTTATACGAATCATTTTGCAAAACTTTTATAGTTTCTTCAGTTGATTTTTATTTATTGATGATTATTTTTTGTTCATTCGATTCATATCGAGGTGGAGATGGCGTAGCGATATATATATTTATATTATTCTACCCTCTCCCCATTGTAACTAAAGCTGGATTTGCAATTACAAGATGAAACTGGCGGTGATATCAGCAGTTACGTGCTCAACGGCGAGTGGGAACTACTGGGTGAGTAAGCCAATGCCAGAAACAAGAAAAATAAACAGTTCGCTTGAAGAAAATAGAATAAACTGGCTCTAGAGCGGGGGCAGGCGTTGCTGACTTTAAGTAACTCACGTACTCTGTCTCTCAATCTCTCTGTCTCAGACAAATGAAACGAAAACATACACATTAGAAAAATTGAGAAATGACTGTACAAGCATTGGCATTGTCATTCTCTTGCTATATAAATATATATGTGTATATATATATCTATATATTTATAGTATGTGTCCGTGTGAAGTTCGTTTGCCCAGCAACAGAAAAGGCAAAACAAAACTTGTTTCTCCATATGCGACACACACACAGGACGGATTTGCCTTAAGCTTTAAAGGCCTAAAGTCTTCAAGTATTTGAATAAAGCAGTACTTTTTCATATACTATATTAGCCTCTCCAAAAAAACATGGCATTAGATATTTCTTACTCAACTTTCTCTCTAAACTGAAGCAGGGTTCAGGTTGCGAGCTAAAGTTCCGAACTCGTTCCGTTCGAAACTCAGACTGTTTAAATTGACGTTTCCGTTTAACAATTGATTGTATGCCAGTGTTGGTAGGTTATCTGTAAGTGTGTACCGTCCAGCTCAGGCAATGGCAATCAATCGGTTTGTGGAAACGTATTCTATCACTGTTGCTCTCACATCTTAATTTATCAACTTCTTACACCTAACATATGTAACATATATTTCGAGGCCATCGAATACGGAATGTAGTACGGCATCTAATGAACCCTGGTCAACCCTCTTAAATCTATACAACTTAAAACTGTGCTACTCTTTAATACTGTTCAACACTCAAAAATATCACACGCTTATCCAGTGTTCTCCCACTCACTCACTCTATCAACAATAATAATAAGCAACAAAAAAATTTAAAATTAATATAAACTATACTATCATCAAACTTGGGCGCTTTAACTTTTCAAGTCCGAAATAGCCGCGTAAACGTTTCGTTTACCATTGATTCAAATAACGTACTATGTTTAAGTACCTGTCAGCGGTGTAGCATAGTTTAGGGCTTAGTCTAAACTAGTCTAAAATATGCTGCGCCAACTGGCGAGTACCCCAAAGATAAACTAACCTATGCAAGAGGTAAGGCCTGGCCCACGTATGCAACCCCTTAGAAATTTTTTTCAAACTCTTTCTCATATATTTCTTTCTAACGAGGATGGCATGTTAAAGCATTGCAGCAGCTCAGAACTGAATTCAATTATAATGAATGCTGTTTAGAAACACATAAACAAACAATAACTATTGCATTTTGTTTAGCTCGTAAGTAAAGCCCGGCTAAGACGGCTAAGAGAAAAATATAGTTCAATTTATAGAACCTGTCCCGATAAAAACTGGAAGCACCCATTACAAATGAAATATTCAATACGAATTAGTAAGAAAATCCTATGTTCATTTCCTTTTATATACCTTGCAAGCCCTCTAATTGCCTCTCATTATCTATTTGGCAATAATTTAGCTCTATTTTTGTGCCCTTTTTACAACTCCTAATTGGTTTTGACATTAGTTTTGATTGCTTCCCTAGCGTTTACTTAAATAAGAGATTCCTTTTCTAAGCGTTGAACTGAGAAAAACGCTTGAAAAAGGAAATAGAAATAACTCTGCGAAAATGGATAAAACCCGAAATAGAAATGTTAGAAATTAAAGGGAGAAGCAGTCTTGCACACAAAAGCGTAAATTGCACTTTTCCGCATAAAATGCCAAGACAGCTGAATGCGCAGACCCACCCACACTAACATCATCGGAGCGACCACCACAACCACCACTTACCACACAGAGCTGAACTTTTGTTCAACACACACGCATACACCCACACAAATACACACGTGATAGAGGAAGAGATTTGGCTCTTCAGTTGGCTACAACCACGCACCAAACCAATTAAGAAATTAAAAGACAAATACAAATACATTCCCAACAACACTCACACACACAGCACTATAAATTAGCAGCTGCACAATCACACATACAAAAAAAAAAATAGAATTCTCTACTCAACACTGGCCACAAAAGTTCACAACACACAAAAGAGCTGAGAAAGTTTGTGCAACAAATTTCGCCTTGGTTTTTTACTTTTCTTTGTGCTCTCTGCATTTCTTTGCTTCGTTTTTTATATTTTTATTTGCTTTTCATGATTTTATTTGGCTTTTGTTTTTTCTATAACATTTTTTTGTTTTTTTTGCTGCGTATTTTTTGGGAAATTTTCTTAAGTTGTTGGCCTTTTTTTTTTTACTGAGCAACACTTTTCAATGCGCATTTGTGGCAACCGCCTTTGGCTGGCAGTTTATGCAAATATTTTGGAGTTTCCACAGTTTTCACAATTTTCACAGCGCTCGAAACGCGCAACGCAAACGTTTGCTGGGTAATTTTTAAATACTTATCAAGACGGTTTTGTGCGCTGTCTGCGTAATCCCGCTGGTAATCTATGTTTAAGTTGTGCACATAATTTAGCCAGCCTTTGGCATATGGCAAATGGGCTTGGCCGAAAGTTTTTCAATGAGTATATGAGGCTATGAATGTTGAGAACAATAAGGAGATAGGGTTTTCAATGGATTTAAGGTACTTAACAACACCAAACAACCTACCTTAGTGCACTTTATAGCCAAGGGGTTGCTTTATAATGGATAGAAACAGATATACCCGATGTTACCTGTCTAGAAATGAGCCTTCCATTTCTCAACTTAAACGTTTACATTACTTTAACTAACTTGCTAGTTACTTGCAGCTCAAGCAAAATCACTAAAAGTTTTTGGAAACATGTTTGCCTCGGCGCTTACTTCAAATTAGTTACTCGTATGCAAATAAAACTTTTTGTCAGACACACACACACGCGCACACACACACACACACGCACACACACAGAGTCTATACACACAAAACTTTCTGACTACACTTAAAGAAACCACAGCATGCATACAGAAACTAAAGTTTTCCTACTCAATGCATATATCATTCTGTACTTTCTTATAGACTATAACCTAACCTATTCATAATATAACCCACACACATACACACGCATTTGAACTGCAAACGCTTCACTTTACTCAACTTTCTTAACGCTTTCTCTCATAACTACTCTACACTCGCTTTACTCTCTCCAAATACTTACTCTCTCTATTACTACTTACTCTTTTGCCTGTATGCCATGCTCGAAATAGACATAAAGCTCAGACAAAGGCCCAAGTAAAAGCTGACACGATTTACAAAAAGAAATGAAAATGTAAATATTTTGGTAGAATTGGATTTACTAACATCTTTATCTTTGGCTCGATAACCCGCTATTCCTAGGTGTTCCCGGCAAACGTAATGAGATCTACTACAACTGCTGCCCGGAACCGTATATAGACATCACTTTTGCCATTATCATACGACGACGTACATTGTACTATTTTTTTAATCTGATTATACCCTGTGTGCTGATTGCATCCATGGCTCTGCTGGGATTCACCCTGCCGCCAGATTCGGGTGAAAAGCTATCGCTGGGTAAGTAATTTTATCAAAGAATTTAAAAAAAAACAAAGAAAATAAATAATAGCGTGCAAACAGAAACTAAAGTAGTAAGCGCCCAAACAGGGACTTAAGTATTAGGTGCTCGAGCAGGGACTTAAGTATTAGGCACCCGAGCAGGGACTTAAATACTAGGCGCTCGAGCACAGACTTTAACTCTCGGCGCGCGAGCAAGGACTTTAATTCTCGATCAGAAAGTCGAATAGTTATATAAATTAATATGAGTTTTCACTTATATAAAACAAATACTTGTCAAATGGCAGCAGCTTGAGAGGCCCTTCAAAAAGTATTTGCCAAGTACTTTTCACAATAATGACATCCACCACCCAGCTCGACTATAAGATTGAGCAAAAAGTCAGCCTCTCGCTGTTGATGAGTGCTTTGAGCTTCGAGCCTGGCTGACATCGCACATTAGACCTTATTGCCAGGCGGGGAGAGACCTCGATGATGTTGGGTGATGATTACGCCAAGGGCTGGTAAAAACAATCTATTGAACTGAGAATGTTGCCGTGGCTGGGCCGTAAAAGTGGGTTTAAAAAACGTGACCTATGTTCGGCACGGCCTTAAAATGTGCCGCCAAAGAGGCGTGGGTTGGCTGGATGTAAGAGAAAACTGCTGAGAGAAATTTGAATACCATAAACAGTTATTGATGATGAGCTCTCAATAATGCCGATGGAACTTAAAATAGTTGAAGTAGCAGCGCGTCAAGCAATGATTAATTGAAAGAAGCATCTGTGCATTTAACTTGTACTAAACATAACTCAGCCAAACCTTGAGCTAGCTTTAATCTTTACCCAAACCCTATTTCATCTATATACCAACTCGTATCTATCTTTTTGGCACACATATTTTACTATATTTATTTTTAATATCTAGGCGTTACGATTTTGCTCTCGCTGACCGTGTTCCTCAATATGGTTGCCGAGACAATGCCGGCCACCTCAGATGCCGTGCCTCTGCTAGGTAAGATCTTTATGTTTGCCGATATTTGCTGCTGGTATTGCTTATTCTAAATATATACCTATACCTATGTAATTCTTGTAATATCCTTGTCATATGTATACTAGTGTTATCGCTGTGTCTTCGTTCGATTCTGCTTTTGCGTTCTTTTGTTTACAGTTTTTAGTATCATATTAAAGAGTCTATATATCATAACTCTAAAGTTTCGATTGAAGTTACATTCATATATATTCATATACTCATGCATTTCTAAAACGATTTTAATAACCGAATAAAATCCGATGATTTTATAATATTAAAACTTTGACACACAATTTAAAAATAATAAAAATTATAATCAGCTACTTTTTGAGATTCAAGCAGTTACTTTGGTCTTAAAGTCCGATTATATTGCCAGGCAAAATCGTCTGACTTTAAACTGGCCAAAGCAACTGCGCGCTGGTGTTAAAAAACAAGAGTCTAAAAAACCGTAGAGAAAGAAAAGTAATTAAAAAGCTAATTCGTAGGGCAAATAAATGATGCAATCAATACTTAAAGCCTATACTGAAATTTAAAAGATAAAGATACTTTAAAAATAATACTCGTAAATTTCAGTTATGACACACAAAACACACGAGTTGGTTTGATAAAATGCACACACATTTGAAAACGAGTTACTTGCACGCTATAATCTTTCCTTTTGGGTTGTAATAACAATTAATTAACTTCATTCGAACGATGTACAATTATGTATAGGTTGTTTCTGAACGCAAGATAAATACTGCAATTATTTGAAGCAACACATAAAATCAGTTACAAGTTTTGTAAATCTTTAACGATTTATATAAAGTGTGTTTATAGCAATTAATATTTTTAGTAAAGTATATGAGTATTTATAATATTAAATATGTTTCTCTTAACCAAATGGAAACCTTTAACTTATGCTCCGTTAAAGTAGTAAACGTAGCATTTTACAATTGTTAAGTGTTTATCTATATCCATTAAAATTCATCCTATAAAGGCTTTTAAGAATTCAAAAGATTCCCCTAAGTTGCTTAAGAAACAACCGATACGTAATAAATACAATTTCTTTAAAATTACAACCAATTGAGCTTTAATATTTTCTGCAAAATTCTTTCAAAATTCAAATTGCAAACTTTCATCCAAATTAAATTTGTTCGTATTTCAATTATAATATTAAAATCTCTTCAAATCAAGTACATATATTTGTAAATCTATTGTTCAACTTAAACTATCTAATTCAGTTTCTATGGCGTACATTTTTTTGGGTGTCTAATTCAATATATAACTATTAAAAAATTACGTAAACTTAAAGTTAACTGTGTGTGTGTGTGTTTTTTAAAAGAATATTTTTTTATCAATACAAATAAAACAAATTAAATGTAAAATGATAAGAACAAAGATATTGCATTTCATATAAATACTAACTAAAATATTTGTATATATCTCTGCCTCTTTTTCTTTCTTTCAAAAAACTGTATACCTTTTGCCAACATACTCTAAAATGAATACAAAATATCAAACACTGAATGAATTCTGAAATAATTATGCTACCCTGAACTATGCTCGACACAAAACTAACCAAATCAAACAAAACTAATACAATTATAATAAACCGAAACGAATCCAATCAAAACCATTTGCACCACAACACAATCACACTGAAAACTGTCGATACACACCCAACGATAAACGATAAACTATTTTATATATATATAATATACATATATATAATGATAACACGCCCAACCAACCAACAGGTACATATTTCAATTGCATAATGTTTATGGTAGCTTCATCCGTTGTGTCAACGATTTTAATATTAAATTATCATCATCGAAATGCTGATACGCACGAAATGTCCGAATGGGTAAGTTTTCAAATGGGTCAGTCAACCAAACCAAACCAAACCAAAACCAAAACAAACCAAACTAAACAACAACTCGTATCCAAATCAACTAACAAAACAACAAAACAACTGCAAAATGCGAACCCATCACTTATCATTGCCTCGAGCAGAAGCAGCAGAAATATGAGCAGCAGTAGCAGCAGCGGCACCAATGGGAGCAATTGCCATTTCCAGGACCAAAACAAGCACCTGGCACTGGATTTGCCTCGCCGCTTGCTGCTACCCAAATAGTCCCACATAGTCGCCATGGCATTAGCATTTCTTTCATATGATTTATTTCGCTAGACCCACAAACTAAACAGAGACAACTGCATATATATATATATATAAATACATCTACAATTTTTTCTTCATTTATTTTTTACTTTTTTGTTGCTTTGGTTGGAGAGATGTGCTAAAATAATTTATGTGTTAGTTAGAGCAATGTTTTTGTGTTTCCTCTGTTCACGTGTTATTTAGTTATCAACCCGGTAACTTGTGTTGTATATTACTCATTTGTTATTGTTCTTTCAATGTGTATTTGTTTTTGCTTTAGTACAAAAATGAAGCCACAAACTTGATCAGCAGTTTGAATTTTAAATGTAGAGTCCAACAAAATGGCAAAGTATTACAATTTTGCGGCTAAAAGCCGAATATATTTGGAGTGTTTCCGGCTGAGCGCACCATAGAGTGTATCTTTATATACATAATTAATTCCAAAATCATGTTAAATTCATTAAAATAGCTGTAGAGTACGCTAAAAGCATATTTAAGTAAACAAAGCAGCATTAAACGCGCGATTTAACGATTTGGCGCTCCAATTTGGGTTATGCAAAATTCTAATTCGCAACAATTTTCCGTTATTTGCAAGAACTAATGTGCAGAGGGGGCTGGGATTATATTTAAATCCGTTTTGATATAATAATAGGAGTACGCATATATATATATATATATATATAAATATATATATATACTTAATATGTATCACGCATCATTATCAATTCATAGTTCATGATATCTCGGTGGAACCTCCAAAAAATATAACATACCATGCAAAATGCAATTATTCTAGTTGCTGCACCAAAAGTACATGCATACCCATCCAAATACACACACATGTTTATATATATATATATATATACATATACATATATATATATTAATTGTTGTTATTATGATTGCAATTTTATTGTTGTTCTGCCCCGTTTGTTGTTGTTGTTGTAACACAGTTTTTTGATTTGCGTACACAGAATTATTGTTTTTATGTATTTCGTATATCGTTTTTATAATTGTGTTAATTTAAAGCCTACTTAGAGGCGCTTATGCAAGCTGTTTTTGTTGTTTTAGAACTATACTTGGCCAAAACCCAAAAATATCAGCCGACTCTGACGGAGTCCATGTGTGTGTGACCCAGAAAATAAACGAAACTAAAAACAGAAAAACAGAAAACAAATGAAAAGAAAAAAAAAAGCCTAAAATGTGACTGACGGATGTACAGAGTACAAAATGAATGTTGTAACTAATATGACTAGCCAACATGTCTGCTACGACGAGTACTGAATACGTCTACTATAAAATAATTTATGTAATGAAAAATATCGTAATGTTGATGTTGGGCCCATAATTTTCTTCTTTATATAAGCAAATGCCACTCTCTCTCTCTCTCTCTCTTTCTCTGTACAATCCATCACAGCCTGCCCACTTTTTCCCGCAACGACAACCCATTCACAAACTAACCAAACCAAACCAAACCATCTACCCCATTCACTCTGAGCCCCCTGGCTCGTTTCTAGCCACCAGTAACTAGTTGCACAATGATTTTTTCCTATTTGTACTCTCGTATATTCTAACAGATAAAGGCCCAATTTATTTAACATATGCTGTCACATAATATCGGAAATGTGTAAACTATGTATTTTACTAGTGTAAATAGCTTTCTATGTGTATGTGTATAGAATGTTGAATGTTTGATGTGGTGTGCCTTCGTTATTGGGTGGGTATTATTCAATATGTTTACCATAAAATATGTTTATCTTTCAATTGTACGATTAATTAGCTTCAAAATATGAATAGTCTCTTTTATTAAGCATTAATAGTTAGCATAAGATATTATTCTCGACACTCTGATAAAAGTTGCTAACATAGAGTAACAGGACGCCAGATCTGGAAATAAACAAAATTTAATTTAAAAATAAAATTTTTTTAAAAATTATTATTTTAGAGTAGACAATACTGCAAGCTAAAATATTTTATCGTATCCAAGAAAAACGAGGCTAATTATTTGTTATAATAATAATAATAAAAATAATAATAATAATAATAATAAAAATAATAATAATAATAATAAAAATGGGTATAACAAAACTTATAAAAATAATCTTGAAACCGATAATAATGATGGAAATAATAAATATAATAATAATACTAGTGACAATTATAATAGTTAAAATAATAATACTAGTGACAATAATAATAGTAAAAATAATAATAATAATAATAATAATAATAATAATAATAATAATAATAATAATAATATCAATAATAGGAATAGTAATAATACTATGATAATGAAAATAATAATATAATTCTAGCAATAATACTTCGAATACAAAATAATATTACTTTATTATATAATTTTATTGAGGGTCATTTTATTTTAAAAATTAACTAACCTGAAATTAGTATAGTAGACAATAGTATAGTAGGCTAAAATAAACGCAAAGACTTTTTAAGTTAGAAATTATGTAAATTTGAGCAATCAAAGAAGAAGAATATTGTTATTGAAAGCAATTTCATGACAAGTGCTCGTTTCGCTGACAAAATTAGAATATCAGCAGCCAAGTATAATGCTCGTCTAATTTTCGTATCATGCGCTAGTTTTTTATTTGTGCCAATTGAAAATGGCCGAGACGTCAAGTGGAAAGCAATTTCTGCACATTATTGCCATAGCAAGAAGAGCATAACGGAAAGTTGCAATGCCTTTCTCGGATTGTATGTGTATGTATGTGCGCTCGCGAGTAGTACGTGTGTGTGTGTTTGTGTATGTGTACAGTACATAGGAACAAGTTGTTGGCTCACAAGATGGCTAAGAAAAGGAGCCGCTAAACTGAATGCAGCTCAGTGGAAGTCAATTGGCTTTTAAGAAGTCAGTCACATGAAAAGTTTTCTATTTTTTTGTTCAAGAATGTGGACAGGCGCTTGTGCCGACTCGACATGCAATTGAATTTGGAGCAATTGAAGAAAAGCCCCAAAACGAGACCAACAAACAGACACACATACACTGTGGCAGGCGACAGTTGGCCCAGTTGCAAGAAGTTGTCGTGACACGGGCATGAAAATTGAGCCAATTGGCAACGCAGGTACATTAGAAATGTGCAGCGCTTGGAGCACCATTGCCCCAGCTACCCTCATGTAAACCTAAGTTCTATGTGATAACAACAAATTCATTTGCACAAAATTTGCACAAAGCCAGCGACCAAAAAAAAATAAAGTGAAGGAGAAAACACAGTAGCAGAACACAGCTGTGGTCTGTGGGGCAAGGCCCAAGCGATATATGGTTACCCGAAACCACCTACCTACTCTCAATCCTACTCCTTCTATCCATGTTCTCCGTTGGATCGCATTCAAAACTTTGCATTTGGCTTGCATGCCACGTCCTCAAGCGCATTTCCATGTATCCATCGCTTGTTAGCGAAACCGCCATCGTCAAAGGAGTACAAGACGAGGGAGACAACGGGCTGGGCGGGTCGACTATTCGCTGCAGCAGATGTCACTGTGGCTTGGGTTTGCAAAAATACAAAAAATACAACAACAAAAAAAAGTTGGTTAGTCACAGAATGAAATGCAGCTTAGCATGACAATCGATTCGGTTTTAGCTGTTTCTTTCGATGGTTGCGCTTTGAACTTTAATCAAAAGTAAACAATGTTATGGAATATTTAATAGAAGCATTTACGAGGGGTCTTAACAGTAGATAGATTGTTGGGAATGCAAGAATTTGTATCTATGCTTGTGCTCTTATTGTTTGCTGAGCCACAGCTTAAATCAAATAATATCCAGGTAGATAAGAAAAATGGTGTTATTAAGATTGTTATAAAGCATTAAAAAATTGCCCAGAAGTGTGCAATTTATTTTTGGAAACTATCCGCTTGTATATCTAGAAAATAATATATATGAAATCTATTTAATATATGATGCAAAATTTCTATGAATTGAATCAATATGAAAGCTTTTGGAGAATACCCAAGTGGAGAATTTTGAGAATTTATCTTTATTAATTATGTATAAATTGTATTCAAGGAATTGTGTTTAGTTAACCAAAATGAACTTAAAGCTTAAAGTAAACAATATAGATACTTACTATTTAGTTAGAAATATGTCGAAAAATTATTCAACAACTTATTATTACTCAAAAATATAATGAATTTTTAAATAATATACCAAAATATTTATTTATTTTATTATCAAGCAATATTGATAAATATTTAAAAACAACCACTTATATATGTATTTTAAAAAATGTATAATTAATTTGTTTGCCAAACTTGTTGCATTAAAAAAGAGCAGACACCCCATATACAATTCCCCACGCATGTATAGATCAAATGTGAATAAATGTCTATATGAGTATGAGTGTGATTATTTGAGTTGTTTGAGTTATTTGAGTGCGTGTGAGTGTTGTGCTTATTTATAGCTATCAACGAGTAGAGCTAAGCAGCAAAAAGCTTCTAAATATGTATCTGTGTGTGTATTTATGTGGGTCTCAGCCTTATATAATACAAAATTGTTATCAATGTTTTCTTTTATTATTGTTGTCATTGTCGTTGTTGTTGCTGTTGTTGTTATTATCGTTGTCGTTGTTGCTGTGACGTGTTTATTGTAAATGATAAATTTTGCATGCAACATAGCTATAAATAAGCGGCAGAGCAACAGAGGAAAGGCATAAATATTATTATAGCTAAGTGTAACACCACGTTACCCAACACTAAACCGACACTATTCACACTGGGAGGCAAACAACACTGACAACAACCACTGTGCTCTCGATGGGGGAATATATGTTGTTTTAGTTGTAATCAAAATCAAATATAAATCATAAATGTGTGGCAAGTGTGTGTGTGTGTGTGTGTGTCCTTGCCTTTGTTCATGGCAAAGCGCAATAAATCCTTACCTGCCCAGTTAAGTATGCCACACATTTGGTCAGACACACACACACACCAACACACGTGCCACACTAGCGCACAGCTCATCACACGCCAAACCTGAAATACTCGTTTTACACGCATTTGGAGTCGAGTTCATCTCTGCCGTACGTCTACTAAACGTTTCAATTTACACCTGCTGCTGCTTCTGCCACCTTGCCACCGCATATAGATACGCATCGTATTTTTATGCTGGCTGCCATGGATATTGCGCATGAGTCGACCGGGACGACCGCTGATATTGGAATTCCCGACAACGCCCTGTTCGGATACCTCATCCGAGCGCAAGCATCAGATACTATCCGATGTTGAGCTGAAAGAGCGGTACTATATACTATTCTATCATGTCATGCAATTCTGTACTTAATTCAATTATTTATCGATATGCTAAATATAATCTCTTTTTGAAGCTCCTCAAAGTCGCTGCTGGCCAATGTGCTCGACATTGATGATGACTTTCGGCACAATTGTCGCCCCATGACGCCCGGCGGAACACTGCCACACAATCCGGCATTCTATCGCACGGTTTATGGGTAACAACAACAACAACTACACACACACACACCCACACATACAGACAGACATACAGTCAGACAGACAGACAAAAGCACCCCTACAGGCTAATCACATTTTAGTGGTCTACCAATAAACTCCGCTTCTCACCGCAAACCCCTTTTTTATTGCAGGCAAGGCGACGATGGCAGCATTGGGCCAATTGGCAGCACACGAATGCCCGATGCGGTCACACATCATACGTGCATCAAATCATCAACAGAATATGAATTAGGTTTAATCTTAAAGGAAATTCGCTTTATTACTGATCAGGTAAGTGCTGTCGTTGTCAACGACCCAAAGAACTACATAGTCTACGTTTGGATTAATCATATTTTGATTAACTTCACCTAAACTTATCTGAGAAGCTTACTTGTGACAGTGCAGGCAGAAGAAGATTTAATACCTTTGTAGACATTTGCCATACGGCTTATAGGGCTCAGAAAATTAGAAATAAATATATATATATCCACTAAGCATTGAAAATAATTTAAAGGAACAGGGTTTGAACCACTGTATCGGCACGTGAATATAGAAAGCCGTATCTCAAAGTTAGTTATAGGTTAGACACGTTAATTGAACAATCAGCATTTTATATTGGCATATGTGTTGTATGCTCTCCAGTCCAGGCAGTTTATATGTGTGTCCGAAAGAAACAAATCTCACTATTCCATTTTATATGTAGGTTGTTTTTTGAAGACTATTTTCTACAAATTTGTTCAGTTTGCAGCTTACTTTTGTAAGGGTAGAATTTAATATCAATAGCAATAATTAAAAAAAGATCAGAAAATGTATTTAATATAAATAAATAATTTACAATAACTTTCATTTTCTTTTATTGTCTAATTTCTAATTTAAGTTTGATTGCATGCTTAACTCTAAGTCCCTAAAATTGATTTTTATGTACACCAATCCCACAAGTTGAAACCTTGAAACCAACCTTTATTGCACCATAATTTAAAATAATATATATTTGATATATAAACCATAGTTTAGCTGCGTTTATAAAAGCTCGATTAATTAGTTAAAACTATTACGAAATTATTTTTCCTTCTATTTTTCTCCAAATTTCCATAAAAATTTAAAAACCAATCAAATTTATAATGATAATAATATAATGCTACACGAAACATTGTTAAAACTGTTAAATTGCAATTATGTAGCTACGTAAAGAGGACGAGGACAATGACATTGCCAATGATTGGAAATTTGCAGCTATGGTCGTTGACAGACTGTGCCTTATCATATTCACAATGTTCACAATATTAGCCACAATAGCTGTACTACTATCAGCACCACATATTATTGTCTCGTAGCCATATGGGCGAGGTGGTTATTGTTATTGGTTTTATTATAAAATCAATTTGTTAATTATTAAATTAATAACGAAACTTTTTAAGTAAATCTAAAAACATTTAAAAAAAACCAAAATCTAAAAAAGCCAACAAAAAAAGAGAAAAAACACTTATAAAAACCATTGACTAAATAATACCAAGAAAAAACCAAAAAAAAAAAGCATAAAAAACAATAATTTAAACACAAAATGAAACTCGTTTAAACAAATCTTTAAAAATCCCAAAACACAAAAGAGACTTAAAAAAAACATGAACTAAATTTGTTTACATATTTTAAATTCCAAAATAAAACTAAAAATAACCCTTAACCCATAAACAACATTTCCAACCCGCAAATCCCAAACCAAGTAATTAAGTTTCTTCCATTTAGTATATTTAGAAAACTAAAAAAAAAAAACAAAAAAATGAAAGACAAGTAAGACACGGGTATATTTTCTTTAAAGATTTGTATATTTTACACTTTAGGGGCAAATTTTCACAAAACAGATGAAAAATTTTCCAAGTTTTTGTGGTAAACTTCAAAGAAATTGCAGTATTACATAAAAATGTTTCGAAGACTTCGATTGTATACGCTCAATTTCATTTGATAGTATTGAGCTTTATAAAGGGAAATACATAGTAGAAATTAAATGGATCCAAATGGTAGGCGAAACCCAACGTTTTTTTATGCTGGTTCTCCAGCAAGATTATTAGAAGTACTGAGTCCAAGCAAACCAAAAAACCAAAAAATAAAAACTTCTTGAGCATATTATTCAAGTCAGTTTATGTAGCTTTTCCAGGTTCAGATTTTTCTCATAAGAACATCAATTCCAAATAAATAAATAAAAATACAAAACAAAATAAAAAACTTAAGGAATTGCATGATTTAAGAACATAAGATTAGAATCCCATACTTAGAACAAACTGCATTTCTAAACAGAACCAATATGACGACCTACATATCCAAACATTTGTACGTAAACGCCTCTAAATCCCCCTAAACCCCCACCCCTAAATCCCTAACAAAAAAAAAGCAATTTATTTTCAACTCAAAAACCGAACAATAAAACAAAACCCTATCCCAAAGCTAAAAGCAATACAAAACCAATAGAATAACCCATCCATCGAATTGAAAATCTAATCCCAATTGGAATTACAAAATTTAATCAAATAGACCAAAACGAGCAGTGTATAAAAAATACTGAAATTCTTTACTCAGTGTATTAAGAAACATTACAAAAAAAAAAAAAAAAAATACCTAGCCCAGGATGTGCACAGCAAATGAAATGCAATCGACTGCATTACATTTGAATGTGAACGGCAAAGCAAATTGATTGAGCATCAAAAAAGGCGTACTTGATAAATTAAATGGTTGCGAGCAATAATATCTGCGTGTTGATGAATTGCATGATTTTTTGGTGATGCAAACAATGATCGATCGATCTATTGCCTAAGGTACGAGCCTCGAGGCAAAAGTTCGCTCTTTCATTGCATTGAGAACAGCGAATGTATCTAAACTGTACACAAATTAACAACTTTCGGTATTCTTTCTTCTATTTAAATTTCATTTTCTGATTCGTTATTATTTTTATGTTAAAAAAATAAAATTAAACCTAAATAAAATAAATACGGAATACTGAAATTTGGTACAAACACCAAAATGCATACAAAGCGATTCAACACCTTTCTACAACAACAAAAATACCAACAAAATACCATAGAATACTGACAAATTACATAAGAATATACCAATAACAATGAACATCAAAGAACACAAAACATGTCCGGTGCATGGCAAATTAAGTGCTTTGCTTCAGTATTGCGAGGACAACAACATACAAGAGAGCTTTATACCTAGGTGCACACATATATATATATATATATATATATATATATATATATATATATATATATACATATATATATATAGATCACAAATGATGAAAGCCAGATACAAAATTCACGAGTCTTCTGCTTCACACACACACACGAACATACTCAATTAGAAGCTGATGTTGCCACACAAGATTCACAGATTCACGATCTTGTCGTATGTTACTGTCCACAAACTAGCCAAGCACACAATTTCTATACATAACGAAAAAAAACAATTCAACACGTTAGCTACAGAAAATCTTAAAAATTACAAGCTGCATGTGAGTCAGGCGAGAGTCTGGAATGGTATGAAATATATATAAATACATATATATATACCAAATCCGGGTTACTCAAATGCTTCGACATGCCTAAAACAGAATTTAACTTCGATATATGTTAAAATTTCACAACTTTAACATTTTACTTTTATGATTTTTAAGTTACAGCAATTCTGCTTCTAATTGTAAATCTTGTGCATTGAAAACAATCAGAATTTTTCTTTGAATATAAAAAAAAATTAAAGCAAAAAACAAGAACAACAACTACAAAAACAAAAACAACATTAACCGTAAAAGCAAATACATACATTTGCATATATAAATAAATAAAAATAAAATTACCAAAAGCGAACAAAACAAACAAAAATACAAAAAATAAAACAAGAGACAAGAAGAGAAGAAATGTCATATGTTTAAACTTAGCTTAACAAATTACACATCACAAATAAATCATTAAAAATAATTAAGATTCTATCAAAGGGCTCAAGAACAAAAACCAACAAAACATAAGGCAATAGTTTTTCTCGTATATTGAGTGAATGACTAGAATTCCAGCAAAGGGGCAATGTTTTATAAACCTCTTAAGTTTTTTAATTCCATTTTATTTTTGCATATTTTATTTTTAAATAATTTTCAAATTTTTTAAAATCTTTATAAATCACTTTTGATACATTTTATAAGCAAATACAATTTCGAAACTCTACAAAACTTTAATTTACATTTATCTTTCGGTTTTTACCAATACGAGTGCACTTTATTTTGGAACAGATTTTGAAATCGTAGTGTTTTTTAAGAATGTCGAAATTTGTGGGACAGCTTAGTAAAGTTAAGCTTTAGCTTTTGATATAACAACAACAACAAAACAAAAACCAAAGTAACTGAAATCTTATCTTTGCGAGAAATATACTTCATATATTTCTATGTATATTGATAAAAGGTGAAAGCATATATTTTACTTTTAAGTTCTATCGCAATTCAAAAATGAGTTTTTCACAATTATTATTTTTTGTACCCAAAACAATTTGCTATTGAATGGCACACAAAGATTACGATCCTTATACATAAGAATAATAAAAATAATAATAGAAGAGAACAGAGAGAGAGAGAAGAAAAAAAGCAAACAAGCTGCCATCATGAAAAATAATAACAATAATTAATTTTAATATTTTATAACATTTTCCATGATTTGAGCTCATTTTTAGTATCTGAACGCAGCTGAGAATAAATCTAAATAAAAACAAATAATAAAAAAAAAAAAAAAACTAAAACAATTGTAATTGAGAATACACCAACAAAGTAAGGCTTAGCAATCGATAAAGGGATTACACGCAAATCTTATCAATCGACAGAAACAAAAACAAAAACAAAGAAACAGACCGATTGTAACTAAGCATAAGCAATTTTTAAACAGTCAGCAAATAGATTTAAACTAAACCATAAATAATTGAAAGACAGCCCCAGCTCTGTGCAAGGACGAACCCAAGTAAAATATATAAATATAAATACAGAAACTGCACCCGAGAAGATGAGAACGCTAAGAAGCTTAAGCAGGCAGTTCAAGAGATTAATACTACATATAAGAAAATAAAAACAATATAAATACATTTCTAGTACATAAAGAAAACTGTTTGGAAAACGTTTCTTTCGTCATGCATACATATATGCGTATATATAGTGTGTATCTATATATACATATATATGCTATATATATATAATTATATATATACATTTCTTTTTTACACTGAAAGCAAATATATGTATGTATATACATATATATAAACTTAGCGTACTATGTAATAATGCAAAAATATTTAAAAGCAAATGATGAAACTTTTTCCTAAAAACTAGTTGCATTTAAATGAATTTTAAAAAAACAATATACATAAAAGTATATATTTATTAAAAGAAAAAAATGAAATGCTCCTTTCTCTACTAATACAACATAAATAAAAACAACTTTAATATAATATTTAATTAGACATTAAAAATAGTCAAAAGTGAAAAAGAAACAAAAAAGAAAACAAGTCAAGCGGACAAGCAGAAATCGTAAACTAGAAAATATTAAAATAAACTTAATTTTTAAAAATGAGAAAACCAACAAAAAAAAAAAGAAAATGCGCTGATTTTTTATGTCGTTATTAGTATTTAAATTTAAATAATTGCATAAAAAAACAAAAACAAAACAAAAAAAATTAAAGCAAAACCAGAATTAAAAAATAAAAAAAAAAACAAACACATAAAATAATAAATTAGAAAAATTGAAATTGGTCATTTTGACCTGAATAGTATATTATAGAAATAATAATAATAAATAAAAAACAAAAAAATTGAAAGGCAAAAACCCCAAGAAAAACAATTGTAAAATTTTAATTATTATTATTCAATAATAAAAATACAAAAAGAAACATTTTGACAGAAATACCAGAAGAAAAAAAAGTAAAAACAACAGTTAAGCTGATGGTCAACAATTCTTATTGGTAAAACACGTTTTTCCATTCCCGATCAGCTAGAGCAACAACCCGAAGGATTGTAAGGATTGCTGCAGGTCCTCGACCCCGACTCCAGTGGAAAGGTAATTGCCGTGACGTTAGGTTAAGTATATGTAAGATCTATGCAATGTATTATAAACACCGCCGGAACTGTTTAATGTAAATATTGTTTAGTTAACTAACATTCATGATTCATTGCAAGAACACTAATCGCAAATGATTGTGACAAAAACTCGATCATATAATTTTATTATTTTTAAAACTCATGTAATCATCTATTTGAACAACAATCAATACATTGTAAAAATTAAAACTTAGTTTTATAATAATCAATATACATATAACAAACAATGCAAAC